TCCTCACTTTTTTTATATGCCTACAATAATAAATGTAGTTCTTCATCTAATTTCTTGAGCTTGGGTGTCATCTTGGAGAAATTTTTCCTCATGCCCATAACACAAATGATATACCACGTATTATTATATAAGTGGTGAAATTTTTTTATTTTTTATATTATTAATGGGAGAAAAAAGTGAAGTGTTTGAAGTTTTTTTTTTATTTTTTTATTTTTGGGGAGGGGGAGTACGCTCCCATAGCCCCCCTCCAGCCCAAGTTAGGTTTGTTAGGTTTTTTTATTTTATATTATTAGTCTTTAGTCCTTATTATTAAATAAAATTAATGGTTGATTTTTGATTAAAATGTAAATACTTGAAGTCCCTTCATTAGTTTTTCTTCTTTTTTTTTTTTTTTAATTTGTCATATAAATATCAACTTCTTAAATCATTACTCTCTCATTTCATGCTAATTTCGTAAATTTTTTTTTTTTAATAATAAGTAATGTGTTTTGTATATGACTTGGTTTCAAAATTATTTTGAATTTTTAACTCTCCACACTTGTTCAATATTATTTCGAACATTTCAACTCCTCTCTTTCTAATAACAGGATGGACCGCGATAAATTCTCAAAACTTACAATTAGTTAAATTCTATGTTTGATGTGGTAGCAAATTTTAGTTATCCTTTGATTTGACGAAATTGTATCTACAAAACAAATTAAACACATTTGGTTACGACCATAGTCACATGCCCAATGAGAGGGGTTTGGTCAATGAACATCAAATGCCTAAGTCAGTTTTTCGAAAAATAAAGAGATTTTACGGTTGAATTGTGTAGAGTTAACTTCAACTTACTTAAGAAGTGTGTAAATAGTGTATTTATAAGGAACATGGTTAGCCACCCGAAGAACAATTATTTCTTAAACAGGAAAGAGATAAAAGAAGAAATTGTTCCCTTCCCCCAATTTTCTTCTTTGCTTGCCCTGTGAAGATTTGTTTATCTTCTTCGTCCTTGTTGTTGCCGCACCTCCAAGGTAAGAAAATTTCTTTTGGGTAGTGCTATTCACATACCCCATTTTACCTCTCACACATCATTGTTAAATTTTTATCCATTGATCTTCTTCAATTCATTCGATCTGATGGCCAGAAATTGAGAAGGGTGTGTGAGATAAAAATGGGTGTGTACATAGCACTATCCTTTCTTTTATCTTTTTTTTTTTTTTTTTTTCATGCGGCTCGGTTGGGGCCACGTGGTGGAGTCGGCGATGCAGTTGGAGGTGTTGGAAGGGCGTCAGCGCAGTTGGTACTAGGAGGGAGAGACTGGTACGGGCGGGGTCGAGTGCAGGAGGAAAGGCTCAGCTAGCGTTGATGGGCTGGCCCGTATTTTGAGTTTGTAGGGCTACTACGTTAGGCCTAACGCGTTGGGCTTGGCTTGCAGCATTTCCTTATTTTTATTTTTATTTTCTCGAATATTTGTCGGTATTCGTATGCAGGACTTTTTTTAGAATGTCCTCCTCCAAGCGTAACAATGATGAAGATTCCCCATCTAAGTATCGTCAAGGTGGGTCCCTTGTAAGATTTGGATACTTCAAGGCTGCTCATGCCAATATTGATTTTGACGAGTAGTTTTTGGACTTTCTTATGGAATTTAGGCATGCAATCCCATCGGAAATTCATGTTAGGCGCATGAAGGACAAAAGTAGCCATAAACCATGCACTAAAGCTGCTTATGCAAGTGAAAAAAGCAATACCAAACAAAGCCTAACTCTATTTTTGCAAAGATAACAGACAGCTACTAAATCAAAATAAGCTTTTTAACAAAAATCTTTTGTCATTCGGAAGCATATGAAGGCTTATATAACACTACCATTACAGACACCAAATATGCGGCAGATTTAAATCTTTATGTATAGAGAAATGCTAAGGCCCGGATACCAGGCAAGCTCATCCCTACAAACCCAGACACAAAATCTTTCCCTCCCTCACTTCTTTTGATTTGTCGTACTAACTCGGGCCACTTTTGGTAGTCAAACGGGCCGGATTGAAGCTGTGGATTATTCGCCCAAGCCTTACCCATCAACATAAGGCCTTGTGTTGGCCTAACTTTGGTCTTTAGGGTATATGGGCCATAGGGTAAATGTTGACCCCCAAACTAAGGGGAGTCTTTGTCCACTTTCACGTCAAACGTGTAAAAATGGGCCACAAAATATTGAGACATAGTAAACTGGTTCGAACTTCATCTCCGGGCCGCAAAATCCAAAAGAATGTGCAACCATAAATGGTGGACACAAATAGGTTGATATCCACCATGATATAGATTTTTTAATGTGTTGAAAATACAGTTCAGTACATCAAATGTAATAATATAATTGGTTATGAATTGATAAAAATTTCTAACCAATTGTATCATAACACTTAGTGTACCAGACCGTATTAATAGCAAACTGAAAAATTTTCTCGCGGCACAAAATAAAATTCACATGTTTGATCTTCAAGTTTAACTATTGCAAACTTGCAATGTGGGAGGAGGACCAATTTATAATTAAAACAGTGAGTTGTTATTAACATTTCTAAAAAGCCACAATGCAATCCTCTCACATGTCATTTATCTCCTAGTTTTCTTAATGAAAAGAGTGCGGGTTGACTATTACGAAATGTGAACAATAGCATCCTTGGATTAATGAAATTTTTTTAGAATTCTTTTTGTGGTTGACGCTACTTAGTCTAAAGTAATACATATATCAGCTCGGTCCTTACTAAACGTTTGTCCAAATGTTCATCGTATTTCATTAATTTTTAGTTGTTTGGTTGGTAGGAAAATTTCATTACTACTTCAAATCCTTCCTTTCGTACACGTCATTTTCAATTCATTTAGTTGTGGAAATTTTGTAGACTTTATCGCAGTAGACTTGGCATAAAGGGAGACTTGGGCCTAACAGAAGATTTAGCGCAAAATCGAATGCAATGGTGTTCTAAGATTTATACAGTCAACTCATTTCGTGGGATAAAATTTTATTATTGTCGTTGCAGATGTATTCACTTCAATAGAGGATATCGTTTTCCTTGACTGGGAGTTTTCATTTTCTTCATCTTCTCTTGCATAAAAAGACGACTCAACATATAAACATCATCTTCTCTTGCATAAAAAGACGACTCAACATATAAACATCAAGGAGAGGAGCTCAAGTGCAGTTTCCCAGCATTTCACAGGTGGTCAATACGTCACTGTAGAAAAATGTGGAACAAGTGGAAATTAGGTGGTGGTGTGGAAATTAGACTTTTCCATTGTTCTGGTCAACTACTATTTTATATATATATATATATATATATATATATATATATGAAATTATAACAATTGTTTCTCAATATTTATATATAATGCATGTGTGTGTATAAAATATGAAACGGTAGCAATGATTTCTCAACTTTAACCTAATTGGAGTGATAGTTTCTTAACTAAAAATCCATGACCTAGTCTCTGAACTCCTCAAAACGTGCAACTGTAATCTTTTTTGTCAATTATGTCAGAACTTACATCAAAACGAGTTATGTTAGAAAAATCATTGCTATAATTAGGTTAAAGCTAAGGAACCATTGCTTCAATTAGGTTAAAGTTGAGGGATCATTTCTCTAATTGCGTTAAAGTTGAGAGACAATTTCTATAATTTTTCCCATTTAGTTTTCTATATTTTCCCTTTGATTCAGCATCACGAGCGTGACACATGGCTCATTTTGACAGTAGTTTTAATGGAGTAACGAAAAAGACCAAAGTTACATATTTTAATGAGTTAATGGACCAATAGTTATGAATTTTGAATTAAGCTACTATTGCTCCAATTATATTAAAATTAAGAAACATCACTACAATTTTCACACACACACACACACACATACATACATACATACATACATACATACATACATAAATATATATATATATATATATATGCAAGAATAAATATAAATGGCGGATGTTGAAATGTGGTGTGAACCAATGGATCTGACATATCGTTGCTTATGAGGACGCAACTGCTGCGGAATTTTCCTGCACCGGTCACCACCTTTGCCATATAAATATTTATGGATCAAGGCTGACCAAATATTCTTTATTATGGTCAAAGGTATTAGATAGATTGACCATGTTTCCGATAAATGCATATTTTATTATATAAGTTTTATTCAAGTTTTAAAAGACGTTAAACGTTAGTCGGTTGATGGATAGAAGTTTAGCGCTTAGGAGTCTAGACCAAGACTAGACGGTGTTTTTTTTATTTTTTTTATTTTAAATTTTAAATTTTAATTAAATGTATTATATAACATATAAATGTTTACTTATACTTAAAATAAATAATAACATATAAATGTATACAGATACTTAAAATAAACAAATAAGTGTATTGAGATACATAATAAAAAAATAGAATGACATATAAAGTATAAAGTACTTAAACATATTGAAAATATGGAGAACAAGTATATAATGAGTGTTTATACAAGTATTTAATAAGTCTCATACTATTTATTGAAAAAATAAAATGCAGGTCTAGACGGGTTTAGGTGGGCATCTAGCTAGGTGCCCTTTCTTATTTTTGTAATGCCTAGAAATAATCATGGCAGACGGTAGCCACCTAAGCGGGGCCTAGACAGCATTAGGCGGAGACTTTTAGCTTAGGTGCCCTTTCTTATTTTTAAACGCTTAGAAATTAATCAAGGCGGAAGCTAGCCACGTAAGAGGGGTTTAGATGGCGTTAGGCCGAGACTTTTAGCCTAGGCGCCCTTTCTTATTTTTTAAACGCCTAGAAATTAATCATGGCGAAGACTAGCTGCCTAAGTAAGGTCTGGACGACGTTAGGCCAAGACCTTTAGCCTAGGCTCCCTTTCTTATTTTTTAAACATCTAGAAATTAATCATGGCAAAAGCTAGCCGCCTAAGCGGGGCCTAAACGGCGTTAGGCCGAGACTTTTATAACCGAGTCCTATAGATATAGATTATATATACACACATATATCTCTCTCACACACTACAAGTCCCAACTCACAAAAAGAATTTGAGACGAAGTTTGTGATTGGAGCAATCAAAAATCCAAATCCAAATGTACAAGTTTCCTACAAGTTTTTCATCAATGTCCCATGCCATGACATTGCAGCCTGTGATGATAATTCAGACCATCAGGTACTACTCTGCAATGCCTTTCAAAATTATAAACTACCTCACTAGTTCACTGCTCTTTCAGTTCTACCTGTCACTCCATTTTCTGCAAGCAACAAGAACAAACCCTTAACCCTGCATTCACAAGTAATCATGCTCCGTTGCACTTGCCACTTGGTTTACTAATCTATAACCTTTCTTTTGTTTGTCATTCACGCAGCTTCAAGAACGAAAAGGACCAATTGTTTGGTATGAACGTTACTCTTTCTCCTATACGTGATTATCCTTTCCTTCCACACACACACAGTGCGTATCATAATTTTTTGATCTTTGAATCTGCCAACCGTAAAAATCAGGTTGTCGTACGAAGGTAGCTCGCAATGCAAACATGGAGAAATTGCGGAATGGCTACCTGTTTCCTGAGGTGAGTTCATTCTTCTTTTGGCAATTGGATTAGTCTCTTGAATACACTATTCAGAAACTCATGCTAACAATATGTATGTGTGTGTGTGTGTAAATTCAGATTTCAAGGCTGGAGCTTGAACACATTGAGAAGTACCCGAATGCAAAGTTGATAAGCCTCGGAATCGGCGACACAACAGAACCAGTACCAGAAATCATCGCATCAAGCATGGCTAATGTTAGTAAATTTAACTGAATCGATGAATATATTCTACTAACTACTTTCAAAAGCATACAGATTACAGAAGAAGGGGGAATAAGAAAAGAAAAGATTTTGGGTGGACTTTGTTTTTTATGTCTTAATAATGTTTAGAGAATTTCGGTGTTTTGCAGTATGCACATGCCCTTTCGACCGCTGACGGTTATTCAGGGTACGGACCTGAACAAGGCAATAAGGTACCATAGTAATGCATGATTCTCTCCCGAATGTCATTTTTCATGAGTGGGCGGTTGAGCTTTAATGCTTGGATACCCTAAATTGCTTGCTTTGCTTTCTTTCAACACTTTATGTGTTCCACGCATCAGTGTTTAAAGTATTGGTATTGGTGAAAATATCGATATGTAAATTTATGAAAATATCGATGGATGTATTGATACTGATTGTTTTTTATGAAAATGATAAAAATTTTGCTCAAAAACATAAACATTTAAATTGAAACTTTAGGATATGGGAGTTTGCCGATATTTAACCAATATATCGGAAATATTGACGAAATTTATTGATTTTAGTTGAAATTTAAGAGTTTTTCCAGGCCCATGAAATCTGTCAAATTTTCAATATTTCCACCGAAATTTCGACTGCATTAAAGAAATTTCAAACATTGCTGTGCATTCATTTTTTTTCTTTTGCTTTGCTTCCTCGAGCTTGTTCTCTTGTCGGATTATGAATCTCAAGTGTGTTCTACGTTCGTAGTCAGCTGAACACAAGTCTAGTGAGAAAACATTACTCCTCTTTCTCTCCCTCTATATATATGTTGGTGTGTGGCGCGCGCGCGCTCGTGTCCGTGCGCATGCTAAGTACATAAACTTGTTTATATGTCTACATATAGGCATTGCGGGAGGCAATTGTAAAAGCATTCTATAAAGATCTGCAGATAATAGACACAGAAGTTTTCGTATCAGATGGTGCGCAGTGTGACATTACTCGGCTTCAGGTACTCAATTACCGTTTTAGTTTGGCGGATGCTCGTTATCTTACCCCGTGCAGCGCTGGAAGCAAGGGTATTCCGGTAACACAGATTTATGATTTTCTTGTGTACTTGCAGTTGTTGCTGGGCTCCAAAGTGACCATAGCTGTTCAGGATCCATCATTTCCGGTACGTTGCTATGTTACTCGATCTTGTTCCAAACGTACAAATGCTTAATTGAATTATTCCGAATAACTGACGACTGCCATCTGATCCGATACATTGCGCTGGCAGGCTTACATCGACTCAAGTGTGATTATCGGTCAAGCTGGAGACGAAGGTGGGAGTGGAAGGTATGGCAGCATTGAGTACATGAAGTGTGGACCCGAAAATAACTTCTTTCCCGACTTAGCGACCACTTCAAGAACAGATGTTATCTTCTTCTGCTCTCCAAACAACCCCACTGGTCATGCAGCAACTAGGGAGCAATTAGAGCTTCTTGTCAAGTTTGCCAGGGACAATGGATCCATTATCATCTTCGACTCTGCTTATTCGTCTTATGTACAAGACGATAACTGCCCTCGTTCCATCTTTGAAATTCCCGGTTCTAGACAGGTTGCGATCGAAATATCATCATTCTCCAAGTTTGCTGGCTTCACTGGTGTCCGTCTAGGCTGGACAGTTGTGCCTGACGAGCTCTTATACTCGAATGGATTTCCTGTTATACACGACTTCAATCGCATTGTCAGCACTTGCTTCAACGGCGCATCTAATGTTGCTCAAGCAGGTGGACTCGCCTGTCTTTCCTCGCAAGGTTTCAAGGTAAACCTTTTATACAAAAAGAAAATTACTTCCAAACAAGTTACATGTCTACAAAATTACAAATTCACATTTTCGGTTTCAGGCTGTGAATTCTCTGGTTGACTACTACATGGAGAATGCAAATATACTGGGTGAGGCATTGTCTTCTGTTGGTTTACAAGTATACGGTGGTGCCAATGCTCCCTACATTTGGGTGCACTTTCCAGGTTCAAATTCTTGGGATGTATGCAAACACATTCTTGAGAAAACACACATAATTACAGTTCCGGGATCTGGATTTGGTCCGTCGGGTGAAGAGTTCCTGAGAATTAGTGCTTTTGGCCACAGAGAGTGTATACTAGAGGCCACAGCTAGGCTTAAAACCCTATTTCTATAGGAATAAGGAACACCCTACTTCTCACTTCATCTATTCACAATCAGCATACACGACATCATTGGGATGGCTTGGCCCGCTAAATGTTATACTTTACAACTTAGAGGCTTCGTTTTATGAGAGGAATAATTACTAAACCAATAATAATTCGTGGTACGGGTAAAAATCTGTACGAGAATATGAGATTTATTATATTTTCTACCTAGTATTAAAGTTATATATGTCTTTGAGAGTGTATGTGGGTTTTTCTAAATATTAAGTCGCTTGGCTACACTTACCCTTGAATTAAACAGTCCTGTTACAGAAGTAGAGTAATCTCAAAGGAACGAGGCAAATGGCTGAGCAAAACTTTGCCATAAACATTCACTACCTACTTTCGTACAAAAGAAACTGACATGATTAACTCAAAACACATACACTGTTTCTCTAAGAAAATGTTACGAAGATTTGCTGACATATTTATCTCACTCGCCGTTTAACTACTAGCCACATCGCTTCAACTCACTATATATGCCAGGGGCTGAACGTCTGCGCCTCATAATAAAGTAATTCTTGAAGAAATCTACAATCTATGTCAGTAGAAATGCACCAACAATCCGATGCACTGCTATCAAGATAAAGAAAATGCTAAAACTGTGTTCTTAATGTAGCATAGAGATAATTGAGCTAACTGCAGATCTGGGAAAATTAATTCAAAACAAATTCATCAAACAGGAAAGAAAATAGCTTGAGACACCAGGTCTTACATACAATATATCCTCAACCTTTATAATTTTGCTTCTTTTAAACACAACAGTCAATATAGAATGATTATATCCAGTAAAGAGCTATCACAATGCACTGATAAAAGTCTCAAACTTTGACAGAAAAAAGGGTATAATAACTAATAGCAATCACATCAACCGAAACTTTTTTCAAGTTTTGAGCTATACTCAAAATCTTAAGGGAATGCAAAACATCAAACATCAAGGACTAGACAGCTAACCAGTTCAGCAGCCCGTGCACTCCTTGTGGCAATTACTTTCCAAAGATCTCGTTCTGATTCTGCTGGTCGTTCAACATCTTCATGGGGGTCATTGAGTGATGAGGATGAAGCTACTGAGATCGACGCAAAATGGTCCGGCACAGAAGCCTGCAGAACAGCAATGTTGTTATTTGCATCCCTTGTGATCACATGAAGCTTCCCCAGCAAACCAGCAAGCAAATAGGGAGACTCTGATTCAGTGAAGTCACGAATTGGAACATCTTCTGCAACAACTTTCCAGGCATCAGCTTGGTAATCGTATACCTTGATCTTTGCACTGTCAAGAGAACTAGAAGGATCCAATGCATACAATTCACCATCAACTGTGACACTCATTTTCGTCCCTGCCTGCCTTGCAGGCCAACCCTCTCCCATGCCAGTTGGCATTTCAACCCATGAATTTGCCTCTGGATCATAAACCTCTCCTCCAACATCAACAAAAAAGGGCCAGCAGTACAAACTCTGTGGAACGAACAACCTTCCCCTGTATGAAGTCATTCCGGTAGCAATAGGCTTCAGCAGATCAGCCAAAAATGCAGTTGGTAACGCCTGAGCTTTCATAAAAGGCATGCTTGGTAATTGGGACCACACACCTGTTTTTGGATCAAATACTTCAGCTGATTGAAGAGGTATCAATCCACCGTGACCCCTTGTAACACCTCCAACAACATAAAGCTTATCGTTTAAGATGCCGGTCTTACAATAAGCTCTACCAATAGACATTGGACTTGATTCACTCCAAGTATTTTTAACTGGATTGTACTGCCATGTGCATCTCAAAGCCGAAGCCTTTGAAAATCCCCCTAGCACATAGAGGCAACCATCAATAGCCCCAATAGAGCAACCACAAAAAGGCATTCGATCCAGTGAATCCTTCCTCCCAAGCCAACCCATGATGACATCCGCAATTCTGATACTGGAGCCTGCCATGTTCCACATTCTCTGGCCAGTTAAACCCTTCCTAGATTCTTCTTCCGGAGTAACATTAGGCATAGATGGCAACCTTTGCCATTTTCCGGCCAGAGGATCCAGAGCACACCATACGAGCTTATCACTTTGGACCTTTGTTAACATGTAGAGCCATTCCTCCGTTGTTCCTAGTTCTTTTCTCAAAGAAAAAAGCTCAGGACTCGTAATGGTGGCTTTCCAGGTCCGTGAAACAGACTTGAGCTTCAAATAGTGGATCCTAGGAATTCTGGCAAGAATCTGAATAGATATCTCGTCAGGAATGCAGGGAATCAATCTTGGGTTTTCGTCACAAAAGCTTGGAGACAACTTCATCCTCTTGCATGATGCACTCGGCAAATCTTGAGAAGGTTCACTGACCCTAGTCCTGGAATGATTCAAGCTCAATATAGCCCCCATTGGGTATATCTTCCTTCAACCTCTTCAATCACAGTTGTAACATCCTATATATCTACAACTACAAGCACGCCGAATAAATACAACAACAACAAAGCCTTATCCAACTAAGTGAGTTCGGCTGTATGAATCCTAGAATGCCAAATAAACTTTGGCATGAGAAATCAAGAATCAATACCGAACGCCAATTATCATAAGTGACAGAATGCAATGCGGATCAAATGAAAACTGAAAACCCTAAAGTTATCATAAGTCCACTAAATTGCTACCTTGAATTCAAGACACCAAAATATAATAACTGCTGCCATATCCACCATACAGGTTAGCTCAATGGATTTTAGATATAATTCAGATAACAATGGTTGCTAAGATGTTCATGCCGAAAAATGGTTCATAAGATCAAATTATCAAACTGAAATGGGTGCCATTTAGGAAATATGAAAGAAACATACAAATAAAAGAGTCCAAAACTCACAAAACAAATTCACTATCTTATTTGTTTGCCTCAATTTTTCTGGGCCGCCAAGTAAACTAAAAGAAATTTGACGCAATTGGAATCAAAATTCAATCATTCTACACAATTAATCAACACAATTGGAAGCAAATTAACAAATAAATCGAATCATTAAAATAAATAAATAAACAGGAGAAAGGGAATCGAGAGCGTTGGATCACCTGGGAAATGGAATCTGGATGCTTTCCAATCCAAGCTTAATAGTGAGCTGAAGCAAAAGTCGTTGAAATCCCTCAGTTTCTTCTCCTCTTCTGATTGCTTTTTTTGTCTCTTTGTTTGCGTTGCGTGCGCTACCAAAGTCGTCCGATTCCCTGCAACGCAGTCCACGTCTTAACTTATATCTCCGACTTCATTCGTCTTGCTACTCAGGTTAGGAAATGATCTGCTAATAAAAGACATTCACAGATTCACTCTTAATCCACCTACTTATAATGTATCTTTATCGTAAAACTTTCATAATCGAAAATGTTTAATCTCTTAATCTTCGTTTCTAGATCATTCATACAAAACATCATTTGAATCAGTTTAACTGTGCAAATATATAAAATAAATTAATGGTACATTGTGAATACGCTACGTGGTATATATATTGTTGATTTATTTGGATGGCTAAAAGCTATCATATTTGAAAGGTTTTTTGTATGAATGATTTTTAAATAAAGATTAAGAATTAAATGGTTCCAATGATAAAGCTTCTACAATGAAGAATGAGTTCATCCCCTAAGAGGAGAATGCAACTATTATCCAAATTTATGTACACAAAGCAGTTGTTATTAGTACTCTAAAAATGTTATCATGCACCCATCTATTCATTTTTTGTGTTTTTTACAAATTGAAATGTTAGAGACATCCCCCTCTAGAAAACTTCATAAAGTAGTCTAAAGAGCTTGTGAAAATGTCTTACAACTTAAGCGATAAAGGGGAAAATATTGATAAATTTTTAGGTTTATCATGATCCACCACTTACATCACCGACATCGTCTCCAACTTAATAACCACAATATAATTTATGTATAGAACAAAGTTAGAAAATGAAAAAAATAAAATCATGTACGGCAGGACCACCTTTCAATTGTTATCCTAGTTGTTCCCCAACCATCATTCTCACAATCCTCACTACCACAGTCACCATATCTCCTTCACCCCACACCATTGCTACTATCGCCCACCACCATCTCAACCTTGCCGCCATTTTCACCACATTGCCACCACCACTTCCACCATCTCCTCTATCACACACTGATCCAAACTCTTTTATTGTTATTTAGTTATTTAATCGCTTAGTTCACTTGTGAACTAGTGTTGTAACTAGGTTTTCATTGAAATATCTAATCTTATGTGCACGAGTTCTAGTTCACTCTGTGTATTTATTTTACCACAACGTTCTTTCATCACCTATCATTCATGCGTGTATCTCTGCCATAATCACTCCCACCGTCTCCCTAGCACCCTCTTCCTCTCTCCCTTCCCCCGCGCCACCATCTTCGCAGCCATCACTTCCACCACCAGTAATTACTCCCCCTATCCCAAACTGTTGTAACCAAAAAACCCCCACCAACCAATGTCACCACTACCCACAACCACCGACCACGTCTATGCTAAAATTTATATTACAAAAAAGGTTACAACCAACCACTTCTACAGATTTACTATACATGAAACATAAAACATGTATCATCTTCCCTTCATGATGCTTGTTAACACCATCATAGAATATGTAATTTTTGCCATTTCAAATTTTCGTACTAGACACATTTTTAATGTTTACTTTCTCATAAAATTATTCTCAAATTAAACTATTATATGTTGTCGGCATAATTTACTGAACAATTATGGAGGTTAGAGAGAGGGGGTGCAGCACATGGAGAGAGAAGAGAGAGAGAGAGGTGTAATTGTGAGGTGTATGTTATTCCACCCTGGTGTGCCTTTATTTATAGTAGTAGGGAAGGTAAATTCCTTACCCCAATAGGACTGCAACATTCCTCCTTAAATGTGTAAATACTCAAACAAATGTCGAATCAGGTCTTCAACGATGAAGTACAGTTGATGAAGTTGTTGGTACAGTGAGCGAATGTGAGTCTTAAATCAACGAAAGAATACATAAAAGGTAAAACTCACAAAACATCGATATGGTAAAACCCAAGATGGGAGAAAAACCTATAGACTAAGGAGAAAAGTGAGAAGTTGCATTAAGTCAAAATTATACGTCTTCTAAACGCAAGTAGAAGAGCTCACAAGAGTATGATTAGCCTAAGATGGGTGTCTTGTCAAAACCTAGTTAGGTAGCAAAAACCCAGTGGGAAAAATACTCCTAATTATAGGAAAAAATAGTACATTAAGATCAAGAGAGTATACTTCCGGATACTTCTCCTGAGTTTGACAAAACTTCCAAATGAGAACTACAAACATTTCATATGAATAGTTAGGCATACCAATTCCTCGGACAAGCTTCTGGAAGGTTGACTTCAGCAGTGACGTTGTGTAGAGGTCGCCAAGGTTGTCTAAGGTCAGCTTGCATGACTTCAATCTCCTGATGCTTTGTTTATGTAGATGCAATATGTCTTGGCGTAGACTTCGTTGATGTATCATATCTTGGCCGGGTTGATACATGCAGCATAATCTTCTTAGATCGTTGCCAGCACTCATCGATGGATGAAAATAACATGTACTTCGAATATGCTCAACAAGATATCTCAACCATGCTTCACGTGTGGCGTAGTGAGGTGGGTCTTGGAGTCAAAGATTTCACAACTAAGGCCATCTCGTGGACCTCCAAGATATTGAGATATCCTTAATGGTAAAGACAACCATTTTGGGGGATGTGTCTTGTGCAGGTCTGATAAGTAACCAACGTCAACATAACAACAAAGCAAGCATCATTCCGAGGATCAAGGAGGTCAGATCCATTCGGGATGCGTTGGGATTAGCCCAAATCTGTAGTACCTTTCAAGGTAGTGGAAAACGTCTTTAATACCAATTCAGTGGATGAGTGTAGGCACGATGCTGCATCTTTACTAACAAATCAATAGCAAAGGAGATGTCTTTTCTAACCCAATGAGCTAAGTGCAACAAAGCACAAAGTTGAACTCATATATGGAACTCATATATGGAACTTTGGATTCCATACCTCTTCAAAGGTCTCATTTGCATCTGGTGTATGGAAGATCATAGGTATACTCAAAAGGTAACACATTCGGGGTGTTGTTCGACTAGTAGACCAAAACATCATCAGAACAAAGTTGGATTCGATCAACATGGCCTTTCACGTCAAAATTCTGCTTTTCCAACAGTGTTTGGTAGAGCAAAATTAGTCTCACATATTGACTAAGAGAATGGTACTCCTCAACGACATTGGTAAAGGCACGAACATGTGCATAATCAATGATATCTTCCATCAAAATGGAAGTAAAATCTGCACAGTTGAGGTTCGGGTACAATATCCCTTATTCCTGAAGTTTTAGGTTTTATGTGCCATGGATCATGCTTCGGGCATGATGCCACACCTTGACAGACCCTGATTCTACCATATGTTGTAAAAGCAAACCTTAAAATAGGTGAGAAAGAGACAGACATACCCATACTTGGGTTCGGTAGGCCTCAGCCTAAGCTGAAGGGGTACGTTTGGTAAACGCTTGTCGAAGCAAAGCGATACCATTCGGTGAGACCGAATGGAAATTGGGTTCACCGTTCGGTAGACTCCAGCCGAAGCTGAGTCTATACTGTTCTCACATATGTGGTAGTAATCAGATACGATAATTTGGTAAACTTCTACTTTCTATATTGCTGCTTCAGGAGTGAGTTAGAAACATGAAAAGACAAGAAAAGTATTCTCTAGTAAAAATTCAATCGGATTTATAAACTTCAAAATTGTACTCATTCATGGACATAAGCACGGTGTGCTTTAGGCAAAGTTAGAACATTCGGGTTCTAAGATAGTTTGCATGAAAAACATTGAGTTTTCATGGCTGTTTTGTTTTATGAAAACTTCGGGTTTTAAAGGCACTAAATTCGAAACTACATATTCAATTTAGTTTATGAACGCTTAATTCATAAAATGGAGGTTCCTACAAGAACACAGAATGCAATATGCTGATTTAAGTGTAGTGGATTTGAGTTGCTTTGGGAACTTAGGTGTGAATGTTTCAGGACTACAAAAGGATGTCAACGGTTCAAAGAAGAGAAATAAATTATTGAATCGTTAATGTCCAAAAGTAGGCTTTAGGCCAATAATTTTGGATGTCTTGTTAGATTAATGGAATGCTAGTCACTTTTACTTAATTCAACAAATCGGGACCATACGGGGACAATCATGGAAGCAAAATAATGACATTCAAGTCATATTAGCTTCGATTGGCGGTGGGCCAGGTGACAAGTGAATTATAGCCTAGTACAGCTTTAACCAAAAACGTCCCAAAAATATTTAGGTATGGTTAAGAAGAGGGAGATGCCAAAATATGGCATTAGTCGAAAAAAGAATGTAGCCTAACACATATGGGCTAGCTATAACACACCGCCCTGCAACAAATACAAAAATTTCAGGTCATTGGACTTGAAGACACGACTGCAGATGGCAGTAGGCCGAGGTAAATAACCTATCAAAGCAGAATTTTTTTTTGCTGCTAATGGGCTTGGGAAAGGCTGATGTGCATCCCAGCGTACAAAGCAAGCTACAAGTTTGCAGTTGAAAACAGGGCGGTTGCAAATGTAAGCCCAATCAGCGGTTGGCGGATGGGTTGGTATGTGAAAAGCCCAGCAATGCGCTGGCTTTTGGGATGGGATGCGAGACAAGCTCATTAAGTTATGCTTACTGGCTAGCGAGTTGAAGGCATTGGACAAGCCCAACATGTGTTGGTTTGGTCTGGAACGAGCTGGAGTAAGGAAGAGGCCCATCAAACAAATTGCTGGTATGCAGGCCCAGCAAATTTCAAAACCAAGGTCGAGGGCCTGGTTTGCATATGCAGCAAAGCCCAAAGTGATGTTGGCTCACAAGGATGTCAATACGACGTCGTTCCAGCACCCAAGCCTCGAGCTACATGATCGGTTTTAGCATCAGGTCGGCTTGGTGGCATAGCTCAGTCGCAGATTTTCCAACTTTAAATTTTCCTTTTCCTTTTTTTTTTTTTCCAAAATTCCTAAGGGTTTGAAAACACTAATTGCTTCTAATTTCTTTTAATTCTTTGACTCACAAATTCCACATAACAAAAAATTACGTAATGCATGAAACGTGTATATATATATATGTATATATTAACAAATATATGAAACATGTACAATATATATATTGGAAGGTAAATCTAAATGTAGGGGGTTCATGCATTATGGGGAATATTTTCATGCTTTACGGTCATTTAAAATATCTTAATTTATTTTAAAAGAACCTAATTGGCAAAAAAACAATTTGGCCTTTGAATTTGTAGAAGATCCTTCTCAGAAAGCTGGAATTGCATCTCTAATGCATTGTATCATGTTCAACAAAGAAAAAAAATTAATTTTAATCAATAACAAGTAGATCAATTCAATAAATAAAAAAATAATCATAAAAAGAATGATTAAAACGTAATACTCTCATGATTAAAGAACAAACTCTCTTTAGCGCAACATCAAGAGCGTGCTGATAACATGTTGTCGACATAATTTACTAAACAATTATGGAGGCCAAAGAGAGGGGGTGCGGCACATAGAGAGAGAAGAGAGAGATGTGTAATTGTGAGGTGTGTGTTATTCCACTCATTGTGCCTTTATTTATAGTAGTAGGGAAGATAAATTCCCTCGGCCATCTAAAAAAGGAAGTGGGTGGGAGTCCCACATCGGTTGTGGAAGGGATTTGAGTAAGCTCTAAAGCCTATAAAAAGAACACCCAAACATACTTTCTGGGCCTATAATTAAACAAATTTTGTAAATAAAATATAAAATAACGTCGTCAACTAGCTGACTGTTGCTTTTTGAATTCCAACCTGGCTCGGGGCCTGCTGGCTGATTCATTTGGGCCAGTCGATTGGCCCTTTGGCCCTTTTTTGTCCAATGGGGTCCATGAGCCATTTGGCCTGACCCTCGGTTAGAGATGGTTTTAGAGCTATTTTCGGCCCTCTGAACCCTTCAGTTAGAGATGGCTTTACCCTAATAGGATTACAACTTTAATAGGATAATCTCTAGTCTAAGAGATATGGTAAAATCTCATAATGATATCCTAAATATGTTAGGATTTACATAATCACATTTCTAATCTAATAGTACTGCAACACCATAAATAATTTGTATCATAAAAATGCTAAATTTTATTTGTCCTATTCATTTTACAAAGTAGTTCTTCAAAAATCTTTTTATAAAACATTAAAGACGTGTCCTTATAGTAATCTTAAATTTTTTTCATAAAAAAATTATGATGCTTTGATACCGGATATAAAATTAAGGATCTAAAACTAATATTAATTACATACTAAATCAATTCACACATACAATGAAGATGAAGATATGACTGCGGGCACTAGAAGATTGTCCTACTCCCACAAAACTGTATCCTTATGCTTTCAGTAATCACTGACAGAATTTAAACTTGTCTTTGAGAGAGAGGAGGGACCACCTATATATAGTCTCATAAGTCTGTAAATATTGCACCTATTAGACATGATAAAACTCCAACCTGCTAGAGTTACTACAATATGCTTTAACATATATATAAAGCCTCAATTTACTTCATTAGCCTGAGAACATATGAACTCTATATATTACCCCAAGTAATTATAGTCCTTTCGAATAGTGATGATGTGTTCTCAATGTAGTAGATTAATTGAATAATTCAACGTATTAGGAAGTAAAGAAGAGAACGATGCATTCTAGGATCGACATTTTCTATGATGCTCGTTTTTTTAACAATCTCTTTAAAAATCCAATATTAATATCTAAAACGATTAAATAAGTATATTATACCAGAAAGCACCATATAACTAGCTTTAGCTTTCCATTCAATATATCTAATCGTCAATCTAGTCCTATTCTGGTTTTTGCTGCAGGTAGCATTAGTAAGGATGTGGTACATTTACTCAGAAAGGAAAAGGATACATTGCATATGCATATGTGATGTGGGTCGATGCAGGAGTAGTCAACTCGGTAATACAACTGAAGATAAATGGTGAATTTGTGAAGTACATTAAACAGAGAAAAAGACAGGATGGTGAAGAAGGCTAGTACTAGAAATAAAATTAACTGTCTGGCAGAGCCAGTTGCAGTGCAATGCCTGCCAAACTCTGTTAGCTAAGTCATAAAGACAGCATGTTCAGTACTCTCTCCTTCTCATCATTCCTATTCTTATCTTCCTGCCAAGAATTACTTATATAGCACGAGTATTTCATCAAAAGTAAAGCATCATTTGATATAAAAATAAAAGACACGTGTAAGCTTTGTCCACATATCTTTATTTTATTGATACATAACACCACATGACGTTGTACTCATGTTATGTAAGCTGTTCTCATTCCTTCGCTCATCTCCTATCTATATTATTCACCGCTAGCGTTTGCATAACTAGTAACATACACTCTCACTCTATCTCCCAACCTCCCTCCCTCCCTCCTACTAATTAGTGACCAATTATATATCATGAACATGAAAAGCCGCAGCGCTACTAAGGAGAAGATGAAGAAGAAGATGATGATGAGAGGGTTCATGTGCCAGTCTCAGGTAGCAACTGCGGTGTGTATGACTGATGCTCGCTCCGTTATTGTGCCGCCGACAAGACCAGCTGCAGCTACCACTGTCCGCCACAATCACAATGCTGGACATGGGCATTACATGATGATGAGAAGATCAACTAGTACTAATAATCCTGGTGATGGCGGCGGCGGTGGTCAATACTACTACTCCAGGCTCCTCAGCACTCCTCCTCCTCCAGCTCATGTCCATGAGACGTCCTACTCTCACAGTCGCAGGCGAAGCACTACCACTAGCAGTATTCATAACCACCATGATCAGCAGCCAATGTCAAAGTCGATCGGAAAACTACCATCATCTGATCCAGATTTACTATCACCGTCGCCATCCGCGGACAATGTTTTCCAGGTAAAAATACATATTTATTTGCAAACTTCGTCATCAACTTTTAATATTTTTTTCCAACTGTAGTGTGTTAGATGGAACAAAATTTTCTCAAATGTTTATATGAATGATCAACGTCAGTCTAATCCTATGCAAAAATTCTCAAATCCCCTTATCCCAGACCTCAATCGATCAGTTGAACCAGTACTCAATTGAAAGCAGCCATATATAGCCTGCAAGGCCAGGCCCTCCACAATAACACTATTTTCCTTCTCTTGTTTTTTGGGTAACTATAATATATTTTCTGGATAGTATACTACTGAAGAGTGAAAGAATATCATGTAGGAAATTTGTCAACATAAATTACAATATATAATGAATAGTTTCACTTGGGCCGTCTCTCTCAAATCTTGATTTATATTGCCGACTTCAACGTAATTACTTTCCTTTCTGCCTAGAAAAACAAAACAAAACAAAAAGTAAATCAATAGTCAAACAAGTTTTACCCTTATATCCACCCGTAAAAAAAATTATAAGAAAACATTTAGTTCTTCCAAAATTGACTATATATCTCTCTGTTAGAAATGTTTTAGAAATGTTTGCGATCAAGTAAAAAGTTCTATGAATGAATGGATCGGGTTGAATTGGAATCATTCTCAATAAGTCCATATGAAGTGATCTCATTTTTTTTCATCCGGTCGAGTAGAGATCAAAGGTCTTGAGTGAATGATCTGGCATAATAACTCAAAAGATAAAGAAATATTCTTAACTTAAAGGTCAATGCAGTTTAATGAGTTGGTTACGTATATATGCAGGTGGTAGTTATGAGAGTTTCCATTCATTGCCAAGGATGTGCTGGTAAACTGAAGAAACATCTCTCTAAGATGGAAGGTACGTTTTAATATTTTATATGACTATGAATATCACATTAATATTTTCTAGGCTTTTTCTTCTTAGGGTCCTTGATTCTATTTAATTTTCTCTTAGAACTTAGAAGGTTTGGTTCACTATATATGTCTTTTAAAGGAGGCTCCAATCTTATTTTTAAGAGTTAAGTTGTTCCCGTCCTTTAAAATTTATCGTGTTTTCTCAAAATTTTCATAAGTTCGAAAAATTACACCAAAATCTCCCAAAGTCGGTTTACTGTGTATTTCTCGCTAAATACTTTTTGTTTTGTTATCATTTCCTGTTTGTTTTATCCATTTATGCTTGCAATTAATTAACATTTTCAGGAAATTAAATATTTTTGGAATTTTGTATATGTACCAGGGGTTACATCTTTCAGTATTGACCTAGAGACAAAGATGGTAACTGTTAGGGGGCACGTTTCAGCAGTTGGAGTCGTGGAGAGCATTTCAAAAGTGAAGAAGGCAGAGTTATTAGCCACTTGAATCCATTCAAGGGTTACCCCATATAGTGGGAAAAATTGGTCAATTTTAATAGGTATTTGTACCTCCTGTTTAGGGTAACTACTCCAAGAGGTATGTCCTTCCAAAAAATAAAAAGAGGTAAATGTGGGTGCTAATTTGATCATGTGAGCTATGGCCCCATTGATATTGACATGTTTATTTTTCCATTCTTCCTTTAATTTCCCTGGTCACAAATTGAAAGTGATGGTGATGTATCATGGTTTGACAATCGAAGCACAATTGCATTTATATTATTTCTTTATTTTTTAACCATGTTATGATAAAAGAAAATTCAAGAGTGTACCGGCTCACAATATAAATAATATGAATGACGATAATATACATGATCGAAAGTTTAATAACTAAATATGTAAAGACTAAAGATCTCAATTCAAACAAAAGGGCACTTATAGACGTCAGTATTTCCTAAATTTGAGTTTGTAAAGTTAATATTGTGATAGACCATTGTCTTCAAATGACATTTATTCTCACTCAAATGAGCTGGGCATTTGGTTTTTGGAAAATCACTTTCAAGTTACAGTAAATTAAGTTCGAAATTTTCAACCTAACAATATTAAAGTCACCCTTTGAAATTTCTACAAATAAGTTTAGGGGTGTTTTTTTAGAAGGAATGGATCGAAAACTACGTTTCCAATTTCCTTTCCAAAAATTTTGAATCGGATCGGATCACAATTTTTAAATTCAGATCAATTTTTAGCAATTTCAGAAATTTTGGAATCAAAGTAATCTCCAAAATTTTAGAACATAATTTGCTATATGCTTATGTATTTTATAATTTTGCGAATATTCTCAAACTTTTTCCTACATACAATTTATTGTTCTTTCTTAATATTTAGTATATGCTTATGTATAAATTCAATTAACTTTGTGATGTACTAGTATGCGTATCCTCTTTAATATATAAGTGTATGTTTAATAATATATAAAAAAAAAAAGACCAAAATGTATCCAAAACTAACAGTATAATACAAAATTAATTACAAAATATAGAATATGACTCTATGAGTAATTAACTATAAAAATAAAAAGGAACATTTTGGATGTTTTTGTATCGGAATAAGTTCGGAACACTAAAAAAAATCGGATTGAAAATACTCGGATTTGGATTTTCAAGTTCGGATTTTAAAACTTACTGGCGAAATTGGAAACACAATTCCAATTTGCACTCCTAAATAAGTTGCCTTTAAATGGAAACTTACAAATTTTCTTTTGAATATTCTACGGGCTATTAATACTTCAATCCAACCAACTTACCTATTGAACATGTGGTCATATTTTTAGGGGTGTGCTATCCACACATCCTATTTTACTTCTCACACACTCCTTGATAATTTCTGTCGGTTGATCTTCTTCAATTCATCCGATTCAACTGCCGAAAATTAAAAAAGTGTGTGAGAAGTAAAATGGAGTGTGTGGATATCACACCCCATTTATTGGAAAAGAATTTTTGAAATGTACAATCCAATGCAACCCATACCATTTTGGTTGGATTGGTCGGGTTAGTTGGCAAACCCACTAATGCCCAACCCATTTAGGTCTCTCCATTTTTTAGAACGGTTTAACTTCTCACAAATCTAGAGTATGTGCACGCTGCTAGTTAAGATTTAATTAATTTAGGATAAAGATGTGCTAGGAAGATCAAAGATTTAATTAAATTGGTTTTACTAGCATTACCCTTAAATGATAGAGTAACCATAGTTATTTGTTTATCCACAAATAGTAACATTATCAAAATATTGTTATTTTGTTTCTTGTTACAAAAGTTATTGTTGTTTCTAATTCACTGCTCACAGCTCACATATGAAAATACCGTTTTGTTTTTTTGCTTTTGTTTTAATCCCTTCTTGGCCTGGAACTGTAGATAATAACAATATAGACATAAACATAAATGACAAGAGAATGTAATTTACTAATCTAAGTTTGGCCGTATACCTACGCGCATATATATTTGAAATATTTATCCTTTGTCTCGATTCGATTACAACTTTTCGAAGTAGGATCAAGAGTGCAACTATAATTATTGTGTTTCGGTTAGTATCACCAGTGCATGTGAGTTTGGCCGTATTGCGATTAATTGGTTTTCCTTTTAATTTTTAAGTGACAAGAGCGATGACTTCTACGTTGTCCAACAGCTGAGTCAGAATTTGGCTGCTCAATAATAGCCTGCGAAACCTTGAAACAGAATGACTGTCTTTGGATGCATATATAGTCCGATCCTAGTATCTTCCTTCCTTTAGCTTCGTTGGTTCTGACGCATATTGTTCTTGATACAAAACTGTTTTAATTACCTTGGATTAATTATATTGCACGCCCACACTACTTAGACAAAGAGATTGATCGGTGTCGTCAATGCTTTCAAGGTTCTCAGTGATCCACATTCAAGTTTATTATTAAGGTACCAACTTACTTACTCTACTCTACACAGCTTAATTAGACTCTCTGTTCAATATATATATATATATATATATATATATATATATATATATTTCTAATTTGGAACATGATATATTTTGATTATATGTTTTTCAGTGTTATTCATTCTTTATAATGATTTCATAGTTCCACTGTTGATCTTGAAAAGAACGTGAAGTTAAATAGTGGAGTAATTGTTTGTAATTGTCACCGCGCTTAATCGTTAATCTGGGTGGCGGAGAAGAATCACCACGAATGGCTGTCGTCTAAAGTACGTTCCAAAGTCCAGCTAGCAAGTATGAGAGAGACGATTGTATGATACTACGATTTAGTGATATTTTTCTCTACTTATAAGGGAAAATCTTAGGTTCTACTCTTGTGAATGGTGAGCTAAATACCAAATGATTATGATTGACTAACCCATTGCATGTGCGTCTCAACTCAAATTCCCCATTCCATTGTGTAAATATACCGTTGTATTTAAACAACCAAAATTATGTGAAGGAATTGAATGATTGTGATGTCAAGGTGTGGTCAAGCTCAGCTTGCTTTGTTGGCATGTACTTCTGGTGAAGGCTACTGAATTAAACACTTGTATATGTAATTATATATAGTGAGTTTGAGTTGAGGATATCCTTGTACGGTTCACCTTCCAACAAGCTGTTTGTTTTCATTCTTGCAAAAAATCACTTAAATCAAATATCTAAATGGTTTTGAATTTGTCTAATTTTTGTAAGGACGATCTATGAATGAAAGCAACTATTGACAATTCGGATGATTGAAAGCAGGAACTCTTAGAGTTGTTTGATTTCCCCTTGGTGGTAACTATCTTCTGCTTAGAAACTGAAGTACGTTCTTTAAGATGTTATGATCTGTTTAGCTCAAAAACAATAAGTTTGTGTAACTGTAGCAGGGTAGCCAGCTCGATTGTAGAAGTGGGGTGTCTGGTCTTGGTATAATGAGTAAGCGTATCAAAGACGATGAGGCGGACATCAGAGGCGGACATTCATCGAACCAACAAACTAATTCAGCTGAGGGAGTGTTGCCGCAGCAGCAGCAGGCATATCAAGTTCATAAGGTTGGACAGCCTGCCAAGCCACAACTTTTTAAGGAATTCAGTGCCATCATGAAGGAAACATTCTTTTCGGATGAGCCCTTGCGTGCTTTCAAAGACCAAACAAAGAGGAGGAAGTTGGTTCTCGGTCTTCAAGCTCTCTTCCCGATATTTGGGTGGGTGAGGGATTACAACCTTTCTAAACTCAGAGGAGACGTCATCGCTGGACTTACCATTGCAAGCCTCTGTATTCCTCAGGATCTTGGATATGCAAAGCTTGCCAATCTGCCCAGTGAGAACGGCTTATGTGAGTCTTCCATCTTCTTCTTTAACCGGCCTTTAATGTATGTACCGTAGCCAAGTCCGAAATTTGATAGATAAGTTAATACATATACACGATTATAACATGATCCGTACGTGATGTAGACAGTAGTTTCGTACCGCCGCTTATTTATGCGTTCATGGGTAGCTCAAGGGACATTGCGATTGGACCGGTGGCCGTGGTGTCTCTGTTGCTTGGGAGTTTGGTGCAGAATGAGGTTGATTATAAGACGGATGCAGATGACTATCTGCGCCTAATGTTAACTGCTACATTCTTTGCCGGAGTCACACAACTTACTTTAGGATTTCTCAGGTATTATCATCATCATATGTCTGTCTATATAAAAGAACACACACACACACACACATATATATATATATATATGTTGTATGCATGAATATTAGTTAGTAATTAGTTCATAGTTTCGTGCAGGTTGGGATTCTTGATTGATTTTCTATCTCATGCTTCCATTGTTGGATTTATGGGTGGAGCTGCCATTACCATTTCCCTTCAGCAGCTTAAAGGGTTACTTGGCATCAAGATATTTACCAAGAAACCTGACATTGCTTCCGTTATGCGTTCAGTATTTTCTGCAGTACATCATGGGGTACTGATATATTGATGCAGCACGATATAATGAACAAGGAAATTGAACGAAATAGTCTAAGCTGGAATTCACTAGCAAACTAAGAAAACCTCAAAGTTTATTGTTGAATGATAAGGAAAGATTACAATCGTTGCCCCCTACGGTTGCTTATATAGTCTTAGCCCTAGGATTTCTAGAGTACAATAGAAAACGAGAAGCAAATAACAAAATACCAAAAAGGTCATAAATCTTAAAATCCCGTTTTAGGTTTGTAAATGAAGAAATTAGGCCAAAATGGCCCTGCGTTAGGGCAAAGTGATTTTTTGGTTCACCTTGCCGTTCTCTCCGAAACAGCTAGTCACGCGTCCAAACCGGACATGGGAGGCCAAATCTACAATGCTTAGCCTTGCTGCCGATTTTACACCTTTCCAACAATTGTTTTTCAGTCCTTTCAGCCATCTGTCCATATATATAAGCTGATCATATGCACATATGTCAAGAGCGATTGAGTGAGTTTAATTGATATTGTTTATAAAGTATATACTGTTTTCTAACTGACTAGCTATTAGTTCGTCTAGTGGTACTTCTTTTCAATGTATTAATACGTCTCAAGTTTGAATTCCCCTCTTGAATGCCTTCTCTTCATATCTAATTTAACAACTGTATGTCTAACTTTGCAGTGGAACTGGCAAACTATACTAATAGGAATCTCCTTCTTGGTTTTTCTTCTCTTGACGAAGTACATCGTAAGTCCTATTGCTTCTCATAAATTTAGTTCCGCTCAATCGAGAATCAACTGTATATTCATTGGTTAATTTTGAATTAATTGATTTATTGGAGCTTACTAAATTGCTAATGATAATGCTGATGTAGGGAAAAAAGAACAAGAAACTATTTTGGGTGCCTGCAATTGCACCTTTGATCTCAGTTATCCTGTCTACCTTTTTTGTTTATATCACCCGCGCAGATAAGAAAGGTGTTGCAATTGTAAGTGAATTTGAATGTACTGCATTATAATTAAGCATATATAATACTGAAAATTCGTATGACGTTTACATTTGTTATTTCAGGTGTCTAAAATAAGGCCCGGCATAAACCCATCTTCCGCTCATTTAATTTATTTCACTGGAGAGAATGTTATGAAGGGCTTCAGGATCGGTTCTGTAGGCTGGTATGGTAGCATTGACGGTAAGCTTGCACTACTACTTGCCAAACCAGCTGAAACGAACATATTAATCTTGAAATATCGATGGATGGATAATTTATTGATTGACTAATTAATTGATTGATTATATTAAACAGTCAATGTTTTTAATTATTGCGCGCAGGAAGGTGTGGCAATCGCGAGAACGTTTGCTGGGATTAAGGACTATGAGGTTGATGGAAACAAAGAAATGGTGGCAATGGGAACCATGAACATTATTGGTTCATTCACATCCTGCTATGTTGCCACCGGCTCCTTTTCTCGCTCAGCTGTCAATTACATGGCCGGCTGCCACACAGCGGTCTCAAACATCGTCATGTCTTTGGTGGTCCTCCTCACGTTGGAACTCATCACACCCATTTTCAAGTACACCCCCAACGCCATTCTTGCGTCCATCATTATTTCAGCTGTGCTGGGACTGATCGATTTTGAGGCCATGAAACTCATTTGGAAGATTGACAAATTCGACTTTGTTGCTTGCATGGGAGCCTTCTTCGGTGTTGTTTTCATTTCCGTTGAGATTGGCCTGTTGATTGCCGTCTCCATTTCATTTGCCAAAATCCTCTTGCAAGTCACAAGACCAAGAACCACGCTGCTAGGAAAGCTCCCCAGGACTAATGTGTACAGAAACATCCAGCAGTATCCCCATGCCACACAGATTCCCGGGATTCTCATTGTTAGAGTTGACTCTGCAATTTACTTCTCCAACTCCAACTATATTAAAGAGAGGTATGAACATAACTACATACACATATATGGATGTGTGAATCAATCTGCATGTCCAAATGTTCTCTTATCAAACAATTTGTTCTCGCTTAGACATATGTTCGATATTCACAATTTACCAACGTAACTCTGACAAGCGACAAGTTAACGTAGTAGGTATGATCACCGGTCGGCTAGAGCCTAGAGAACTAATTGACACCAATTAACTAATTTCTTTCAGGATTTTGAGATGGGTGACTGACGAAGAAGAACAACTAAAGGAAAAGAGTCTACCCAAAATCGAGTACTTGATTGTAGAAATGTCGCGTAAGTGAATTCTAATTTTGTCCACTGCCATATGGATTTTACTGATTGAGAGAGATGGCATTAATTCACGGACTTTCATTTCCCTGCCGCAGCTGTCACTGACATAGACACAAGTGGAATTCATGCCTTGGAAGAGCTCTACAGGAGTCTTCAGAAGAGAAAGATCGAGGTAATGCCTTCAATCTTTTCGATAAAAATCTACTCATTGTTACTGTAGTTAACAAGTGACTTGGTTGAAGTAACTAATTTGACAATTTCGGTAATCTTACATTTCAGCTTGCTTAGCAAATCCTGGCACAGTAGTCATTGACAAGATTCATGCATCGGAGTTTGTCGATTTGATTGGAAAGGGCAAGATTTTTCTTTCAGTTGCAGATGCCATTCTTACATTTGCCCCCCATCATGAAGAACCTTGATTTACTCCAACAAACAAGACAGGGTTATCCAAGAACTATATTTTTCGTTTCCTTCTCCTCCTCCCTTTTCTGTCTAAAGTAAGATGGCTAGGGGTCACTTTCTTTTTCTTCTCTTTTTGTATGCTGTATTCATCTCTTTTTTTTTGGGTCATCTTCCGATCTTCGCACACAATGTGTGTGCAGTCTGTCTCAGTTTTTTCTTGTTCTTTTTCCTTGTGAATTCAGTTTTCTTGTAGTTTTTTTTTCTTCTGCGGCAGCACTTATATATGCTGAGCAATTTAAATGACAAGGAGTCCAAAAGGCCTGCTAACGGCTGCGGTTTCCAATCTAACGGCCAGAGAATTTTCTTGCCAGACGTCTGGCAAAAGATCAGTTCTGATACTATGATTCCTCTTCACTTTTCATACTAGTTTAGTACTAATTGGAGACTCGAGACATCAACATCTACAGATAAAATTAGAAATTATGACTTCTTTCGGTCCTACGCTCACGAGTATGTCAAATAATTGAATGATCTAAAAGATAACAACCTAACACCGCATAAAGATGATTTTACAGTGCTAGAAATTATGATAGGAAAAACAATATGAAGATAACAAAATCGTGAAAATCCTCAAAACTTTAAAATCTGAATTTAACATAAGTTACAAAGGAATTTGGCTTGAAAACCATAAATTATAGAGTAGCGATGTGCTGCAGTCTCGATGTTGTTCTCTTGGAAATTGCAGGTCATGGGCCTAAGTCAAGCACGGAGCCCAAATCTGTGCCAAGTGGAGTTTGTAGCTGTATTTGTGCTTGTCGAGCTGATCTTCGATATAGTTTACCATATGTATCTAGGGGTTGGGGATGTGTATGAAGAGCTAAGGAAAAGAGATTCTCATTTTTTTTACGAGACATCGTGACTACTTATAAGGCACAATGCACATTCTTTTACGTGTGTGCGTATGGATGGATCCGTGACATCATATTTTTTACACAATATTTGACACATCACAATCCACATTTTTTTACAGTGTGTGTGTATGAATGGATCTGTGACACCATATTTTTTACACAATATTTGACACAAGTTTTAAACCATTAGGATATGATTATCTTACTATTAATGGTTAAGATTTAGTCTGATAACTAATTAATTATTATTAATTTACCTTTATAAGAAATTATTAATACTTTTTTTTAACTTATATACAAAATAACAATTAAATGCAGAATAATCAATCAAGCCTTGTATGGTGCAAATTTCAAAAGTTAATCAAGTAAGAAAACTCTCGATGGCTCTCCTTCTGCAGTTTTTGTTCACCATTGCAGGCCAAGGAAGAGCATCCCCACGTAGGCACTCCTTCATGTTAAATTTTCAGAGATGGAACAACCACGGAATTTCTTTTGCAGTAGATGAGCCTGGAAGATCTTTTCCAGTAAGGTTACTAGAGTTCATGCCAACACAAGGAAGCAAGGGATGAGAAGGTTCAAATGTTTGGGTTCCAGTAAGGTTGCTAGATGAGTTCGCAACTATAAACAACAGAACACGAGATTTGAGTGATGCCATTTTGATGACGCGATTAAATGACATTCCTATCAAATGCAGAATTCACTACCCCAAAAACGCCTCAATGGAATACAAATCCCATACGATTTTCCAGAATTCAGAAGACGCTGTCTTAAGATTCATGAATGAGCCCATTTAATTATCTTACCAGATACAAGAGCTGGATTCGGGAAATTTTGGAGATGTTAAAAGAAGACGCAAACAAACAGAATAAGAAGCTACAAGAACGTATTTTCAAAATGGCAGCCTAATGTGACTAATTGATCAGGCAACCAAATCTCAAATGACCAAAATTGCTGGTTTCTCATGGGAAAGCAAAAGAAAAGAAAGAAATGGAAAGTTAATGGGATTGGGAGAGAGAATCACAGTCATAAATAAAAAATGTTTCATATTTTTATTTCTAATGTATGTTTTTATTAAAAAAAAAATCGAATTACTTGTCTTATAAGGTTAAATCTTAACCATTAATAATAGGATAATCTAATGGCTTAAAACTTGTGTCAAATCTTGTGTAAAACTGTGTTCTAAATTTGTTGTTATGTAAAGCCAACTCACTCAATACATTTTACATTGAATTGTAAATCTAAAGAATATTAACAATATAAAATAAGCAAAAAATAAATTAGTAAAGAAGTAGATCGGCCCCATAATTTTACAGGCTCAATTTGATCAAGAATATTAAGCAAGTACAGAATTGGTCCAAGAATTTAGTAAAAAGGAAATAAGTGAATGAATGAAATTATGAAATGAGGAGATAGAGTAACTAGTCAATGGTTTGATACATCGCGAGCTCTCCTTATTCTGCTGGCCCATGATCCTTCCTTTTGTGACCTTCTCTTCAACTCAAGAATTTGTTGACTCCATCTGTTATGTGCACCTTGATTATTTCTGACAGAATTATCCATACTGTAGGTGAAGGTGCTCCTCCTACTACAACTATTGTTACAATAATCTTTCAAACCCAACTCGTAATCATATTCATCGCGCAACAGAGGATCCGATAGCGTCTTGTAAGCCTCGTTCAATTGCACAAATCGCTTAGTGAAAATATTAGAATTTTGTTGATCATGACATACATCTGGATGATAGCGAAGCGCCATGCTTCTATAAGCTCGCTTGATCTCGTCTTTGCTCGAGTTAGTATTCGGACTCAAACTAAGTAGCTTGTAGAAATTGGTATGACTAGCACTACCGCTCTCGTAACTATTCGTGGATCTGCATGTAATATTAGTGGCTTTGCGTGCATGACAATTTAGAAAAGAAGGTTTAGGTTTAGCAGCTGCAGCACTAGTACTAGGGTTTATGCAGCTTGAAGAAGTCAGCAGAGGGGGGTTCATGGCTATGTGAATGTTCTGCAAAATGCATGGGAAAGAGTTATGCGGATTGATGATGATGATATAAATTAGTGTACTTGGTCAGCGTTGAATCATAAACTGTCGTAACATCACCAAGTACTTTTGTAATCATCTATTAATATGCGGTTAAGTTGGGACAATATCAATGATATTGGTGGTGAATCATGTGAATTAAAAAGGTTTGATAACAAGTTGTTATACTAATTGAAGAGTAATTTATATGAAACAGATTTACTGTCACATGATCTTCCAATTAATAATACATTATCATATAGAAAATAAAAAATAAAAACCTTGTATTTAACAATATATTAGTGGATAGAGAATGTTACATATCGGTAAAATCGTTCCCTATAAATATTTCTCCTAATTTTAATAAGAAAAATTCCATGGTCTACTGTACTGACCAAAAAGAAAGCCGAAAGCCGCTTTGGTTTCTACGAAAAAAAGAAAAAGGAATACTTTGAGGGGGATTTTTTGGTTTTCAAAAGTCCTCGCAAGGGAAAAGAATCTTTGTTGGATTCATTTTTTAACGATCTTAAGGATATTGTGATTGTGATCGTTTATTATACATTGTACGATTAGAAATTATTTCAAAATTTAAATTTTAAAACTAAATATAAATAGTACCTAACAAAAATTGATCACATGATGTAAGATGAATGATCACGATCACGAATTTTCTAGAATCCCTATGTAAAGATCCGGCAAGGATCCTTTCTCGCGCATAGCCGACTTCTACTATTGATGATATCGATGTTTTACTGTGGTAATATGTTGGTGTCCCTTCCTTTTCTTTCACAACTTCTAACTGGGGAATCAGGTAGCCGATGAGTTTGCTAAACTAGTCGTTGATGTTGCATATCTAACGCCGGAGAATAAGGAGACTTTATATGAGCTAATTAACGATGCAGTACTGAGACAAATGTCTTTAATCTATTGTTAATTAGGATAAAAATGATTGATATATTCTTAATATTGTAAAAAAATAAAAAATTTGATAAATCTCCTAATACTGTAAATTTTGATTTAGAATAAATCTCCCAAAGAAGTTGCCAGTTCCACTCCTCTTATAAATAATGCCTAATTGGATTATTAGTCTCTGTGATGATAGGGTAGTTTGAAGATAGCCCTTGTGGTAAAAAAAAAATTCGGATTTAAACCGTTGTGGTTAAGTCTATTAGGATTAGCCCAAAATTGAAAATTTCGTCAACTTTTCGTTAATTATTAGCACGTGAGCCACATATATTAGGCTAAAACGGAACTCTCTACTAATTGTTGGCAAGTGGAGCTGCATGTGAGGATAACTTTATTATTTTAGTCTCACATATGAGCCTTTATGTACTAACAATTAACGAAGAGTTGACGGAACTTTCAATTTTGGGCCTAAATTCTAACTAACTTCACAACATGGGCTTAAATTCTAATTTGTTTACCACAGAGGTTATCTTTCAACTACTCGTTCACTACGGAAACCAATAACCCAATTAAGCCTATAGGTAATGTATAGTTGTTAATCCTCAAAGATGGGCCTTAGGAGAAGGCCCACATGCTAGCCCAAAAGATTTAGCAGACAAAGTGCTATCTCAATGGTAAATGATGAGCATTACCTACGACCGCTAATTATCACAGATTGTCTACCGACTAGAAGGAACGAGCATTGGACTTAAAGTACTTTTTGACTGCTCAATCCAGTTAGCAGACTTGGCAACTTTCTGATACGGTGCTTCAAGGATAAGTATGTCAAAACATCAACTTCAAGCCACTTGTCTACCTTAAACAAGGAAGTCTATAAAATGATACAAATGCTATCATATGCAGTGCTCGATTTAAGTGTTTTCTAACCACCCATGAATGAGCGATGCGCTCGAAGGTGTCAACGAGAGAAACCAAGCAAGTAGCCCTGCATGGATGTCACTTCTCATCCACGTGTCGGTTGGGCAATGGAGAAGTAGCATCTATACCAAGTCTACTTGCACAACCCTTTACCAATGGAGTGGTGAGAGTCTTGGCCCAAGACTTTTTGTGTGTTACTGAGCCTGTATAAAGGAGACGAGTACTCTTTAGAAAGGTTTAGATCCACAAGGATAGAATTAGATTACTTTGTGTTGAGAGTTATATTGACACACCCCGACCGAGATCAGGGCATGCTGGCCATCACGTGGAAGTGACGTAACCATGTGCACAGTGCGGAAGCTAATAACATAATAATAAAAGTACGAATAAATAAAAACATGGGAACTCCGAAGTTAAGCGAGTAGCGCACGAGAGCATTCCCAGGATGGGTGACCCATCGGGAAGTTCTCGTGTGAGTTCCTAGAAACAAAACCGTGAGGGCATGGTCGGAGCCCAAAGCGGACAATATCATGCTACAATGGTGGAGCGGGCCCGGGAAGTGGTCTCGCCCGGGCCGGGATGTGACAATTTGGTATCAGAGCCTAACCCTGGCAGTGGTGTGCCGACGAGGATGTCGGGCCCCTAAGGGGGTGGATTGTGACATCCCACATCGCCCAAGGGCGTGATCCTTATATATATATATATATATATATATATATATATATATATATATATATATATATATATATATATATTTCCATCCTTACCTAACACGAGGCCTTGTGGGAGCTCACTGGCTTCGGATTCCGTAGGAACTCTGAAGTTAAGCGAGAAGGGGGCTAGAGCAATCCCATGATGGGTGACCCACTGGGAAGTTGCTCGTGAGTTCCCAAAAACAAAACCGTGAGGGAATGGTAAGCTCAAAGCGGACAATATCGTGCTATGGTGGGGGAGCGGGCCCGAGAAGTGATCCGTCCCGGGCCGGGATGTGACATATATTAATTCGCAGTAAATACATATCAGATTACTCCAGTGGACACAACTCATTCTTATGAGTGAACCACTTAAATCTTATTGTTTTCATATCAATTTGGTCCCTAAAACCCCCAATGGTTGACTATACTGGTCTGTTGACTTCCTAGTTTTGAGTGTTTACGATGTACAAGTGGTTAAGTTACAAACAACATATATAATATCTATATTGATTAGTAGTGACCTATTATACCACTTATGAAATCTCTGCAATGAAAGTTTACTTTTAAGTAAAATAATAATATTGATATTGATTAATAGTGATCGTTAGACCGTTACAGGCCCGGCCATGTCCAAACTACATATATCATCTTCCTTCATTATCAGATTGAGCTCCTCTCTCACTTTTGTCGCCCTTCTCAAATAAGTTTCTTTTGACAAAAGAAACTGGAGACCAAATTTGACTCTAGGCCCATGGTGGCTCCACCAGTGGCCTAGTTTAGAGTTAGTGTTTATACAGTATCTGTCATCCAATAAAATTTCTGCTAGAATGCAGCCCCTCTTTTCCGCACCAACCGGCAGACCCCTCCCCCTTTCAAAACCTACCGCTGCCCCTCCCTCCCCACCCTTTCTGCACAACATATATCCTCATTCAGTCATCCTCTACTTTTTTACTACTTTTTTTTTTTTTTTTTTTATTTGAAACCCACTACTTTAGAATCTAGTCGCCAGCTTTAAGGCTTTGGTATTCACACTATCTTTGCCACCGTCAATGCTAAAATGAGTGTAAAAATCACTTTCGATTAATTTGTTAACTAATGTTATTTGGATGCACATATCATAGGGTACTTAACCACATTCATTCCGGAAGGAATAATATTAGGGAGACCAAATACTAAGAGTAATGTCAGAGAGACTAAAATTTTAGATAAAATTGTGTAAACTAAATAATATGTAAGTTAATGATTAGATTATTACTTAATTGATAAACATGCTCATTTCTATTAGGAACACATTGTGGATGCAAATTTTCGTCGTCTTCTCCTTTGACGAAAATGCACCTACAAAATAATAACATATAAGATTAAGCCAAAAACCTCATGTGCCCATGATGAATGGGGGGCTTTGACCAAAGAATCTCTGATATCAAAATTAGAATTCTGAAAATGATGTGTTTAGAAGTTTGTGAGTAGCAAATGACTTAGTTTTTTAGTGGGAGAATAAGGCTATTTATAAGGGAGTGGCCGACTCTATTTGGAGAATAGTGGCGGGCCATATATGGTGAAATTGTGAGAATAATTGCAAGATATTATGTGAAATAATATCTTGCAATTAACATGGTAATTAATCCTAAATTAAATAGGAAATTTGGAAGTCACCTTTTGAATAAGGAGTTGATAAAGAGTGATGAGAGAGATTGAATAAATACCATTTGATCACCTTTGACTATTTCTTGATTAAGTCGTTATTGTCTGTTGTATGCGCGTGAGAATCCCAATGTGTCTTTAGGGTAATTTTGTCATTTTAACCCAAAAGTCCACGTGTCCACTCTATAATTTTCTTGATTATTTTTTGCTCCACACATCATTTAGTTTACAAATTTTGTCTACAAATTTAGTTTTTCTAGCATTACCCAATTTTTAAACCAAATTTACAAACCAATAAAAAATAAGAATGTTAATCAATATTTAAGTATAATCTAATCATCAACCACCACATCATTTCGTTTACAAATGTTGTTTGAAATTTTGATCTCTTAGTATTACCCTTCCGCAAGGGGCATTTAATTATTAGCTTACAGTAAATGCAATTTACATAAACTAAATCTTTCCAACGCTACAACATTACTAGCTAAGCTAGAACCCTTAATATCTCGGGATAAGAATCCTCTTCGGATTCTTTTTGTAGAGATCCTAAGAATTCTAAAATAATTTTAA